AAAAAAAAAAAAAAAAAAAAAAAAAAAAGACCTTATGGCGAGTGGCCACCCCTACAGACAGTACAGGACCGGTTTGGGTATGGGCTATGGAAGCACCGCATCCAATTTTCTCAGTCACAGTTGCTGCATCGAATGGCACGGCGCACACAGATGTCACAGGCTACGTGGTTCGTACATGCTAGGAACACAGGGGCACGTCGACCACAATTATAGAGGCATTACCGTTCCAGCCCGTCTACAAATTGGACATGACATGTCGGGGTGCCGTACATGAGTACAGTACTGACTGTCATCGTACGTATGGAAGCAAAAACTCGCATGGACTATACCTTCACAATCCTCACGGCACAAGGCATGTGAACCACATGCTAGTTGAATCTCCGGCGGGTCATCACAAAACGGCATGGAGCATCTTTCTTGGGCTTCCTCAGTATGTATTCCTTCTCTATGAGCAGACGACGACAGCGAGGATTGGTCCAACGCAAGGGCATTCAGCTGCTGCAGGATATGATCCGCAACAGCTCGCCCTGGTGGTGATAAACTATGAGCACATCGCTCTGCCGATGGTTCATATAGAAGTCTATTTTCCTCCTCGGACTGCTGTGTTCGTCGTTTGTCTGGCAAGAAAGAGGGAGATCCGTCAGCGGTTGTCGTAGGTGTATGACCAATACCGCATGTGGGACATGCTAGGAGAGGATGTGGAGGGTGATGGCACCGGGGATAGTCCACGCAGTAAAGACACATACTTTCTATGACAGCTTCCTGGAAGCATTGACGAAACATGGCATGTTGCTGACATGTCATTAGTATGGAAGGCTGACGTGCACAGTTATTTAAGCATGGCAGATCAAGGCCACAACGGCATACTGGGCAAGTAATCAGGGGGTGGGGGGGTGAGCACAGGACTGGGGATCACAATTTTCATGTGAGAGGCTAGCAGCGACCATCCCTTCATAGTGTTCGGAGCAGAGGCTATGTCGTGTAGATGCCAACCGAACTGTACCTGTGCGACGACACAACGGGAGGGCACAGCCATCATCCTGTAGAGAGATCCTTTCACTGTTTGTGGTAGAATCAGCAGGATTGCTCTCCGGGGGGTGCAGTGCTTGCAAATGCTCATCGACATACTGTTCCTGATGGATGAGCCAAACTGAGTGACCCTCCAGCATTTGGTGATAGAAAAGAGTTAATATTTCCCACTGTGTGCACCCTACCGCCATTGTCCCATAGGGTCCATGAATTATCTGCAAAGGTAAGAGCACTGAAGTGACCTGGACGATATAAGATATATGTCCGAATATTCGGATCCGTGCCTGGCTCGTGGTTTTGCGGAGCAGGCTGGAATTGCAGTCGCGTACCCATAAATGCCATAGCCAGGACTTCTATGTTCACCCCAGGCGCAGCGTTGTTGTCGTCTCGGCAGACGGCACGGTGCTCTTCTTCTATCCAGCGAACAACGTCTGCGAAATCAGCAACAGTATTAAGGATTACAGTTGTAAGCAAGGAGACATACATTAATGGCATAGTACGCACAGCGCCCTCGCTGTAGCGCTATGACATTGTCTGATTCCGCAGGTTGCGTGGGGGATCCGTTTACGGCAGGGGGATCCTCGTTCGATTCTGCAGGTTGCCCAGGTGGCGGAGACTCGTTGTGGTCTTGAACAATTGGCTCCGGTATGTGCTCCGGAGAGAGATGATCTTCAACCGGGGGCTCGTGTGTGTGTGTTGTTTGTGTGTGTGTGTGTGTGTGT